TTCTGAGGTTAGGGCCTAACTGACTTTTAGAACAATCTGTCACATGAATCAATTTATAGATTCTGATTGAGCTATGAATGCTTCAAGCCTAACTTAGGCTTTAGAACAGTAATTATGGAAACTTTACTGCAAACTGGTAAGCCGGAATTTCCTAAGTTAGGCACAGAAACGGAGTGCAATACATAGACTCCTCTTCATGTTGTATGTTGTTTTCTGAATCACTGATGTTAAAATTTAGAAACATTACCTTGATCTCCAAGTGATCCATGTTAGTCCAAAAATAGGATTACGCGCATTTCGACGTCAAAGTGTCATTGTCAAATCGTACAAAAACTTTCTAAACCATATGGTCACGTCACAGTCTTTCCGACACACACAAAAATCACATTACCGGTACAAAAATACATTTAAAAGTAGGCTTCTAACTAAGCTCGCATGCCGAGGCTCGACTGCCGAGCAACAAAAATACATTTAAAAGTAGGCCTAAGTTACTAACTAATTTGTGGTAATACGACAGATCTGCTCGCAAGCTGAGGCTTCCACATATCTGTCGCCTTACCACAAATTAGTTAAGTTAGTAGGCCTAAGTTACATTTAAGTGTATTTTGGTAGGCCTACCGGTACCTAATGTGTTTATTGTGTGTGTCGGAAAGACTGTGACCATATGGTTTAGAAAGTTTTTGTACGATTTTACAATGACGCTTGTCGTGTTGTGACGATGTCGAAACGTGCGTAATCCTGTTTTTGGACTTACGGTAGGCCTACATGGATCACTTGGCGATCAAGGTAAAGAAATGTAACCTTATATATAGACTCCTCTTGCCTTAGGTAGGCCTCTTACAGTCATTTAAGTTTAAGTTACCTAATGTTAACTTAACTGTTTACCTAGAAGTGCATCGTTGTTAGGTAGGCCTAATTATTAAGCGTTGCTAATCGCTTTTCCACACTCCGCGCCTAGAAAAACCAGGCTTAAGGCCACAGATAGGCTTACTTCTCCAAGTTTAAGTTTATAAGAAATTTATCTATTAACTTAGGCCTAGGTCCTTTTAACTTAAATTAAATAACACTGTAGAAAAGGCCAAGGTAGGCTATTACCTTTGATTGCAGGCTCTAACTTGATAGGGAACACTCTGTCAGTTACACTTGATAACTTTTAGGCCTAATTTGTTAGTGTATCTAAGTTTACTTAGCTTATAATTAGGCCTAGGCTAGGCCCTGCCGGATAACGTTAAGTTATATAGGCCTAGTTTCAAAATAACACTTGAAAGATCATATCTCAACAATGACGATTGATATTTTAAACACATAGGCCTAACCAGACACAGTGATTAATTAAAGTTACTTCCTTGCTTAGTCTAACCAATCAATGGCCATGCCAGCCTAGATCTAGTGTTTTCCATTGACATGGGTGAACAAAATCGCAAGAAGGTTTACTAATCGAATCGATAGGTAGTTTCAATCAATAATAGCGTAGCCCAGTTAAGAAACTGTACCCCAAAAATCTTCCACTATTTTATATTACAACACCTAGCCAAGAACCAACAGAGAAAACACAACAAACAAAAGAAAACACAACCGAACAACCGAACCGACGACGACGACGTGACGACAATAAGAAAAAAGACACTATGTTGGTTAGAAAAAATGTCTCTTTAAGAAAAATCTGATTGGCATAGGCATTTAATAGTATGCTATAACAATAATATTGAAAATTAATAATATAAAAAGCTCAAGACAATGTTAACACCACTTATTTTTAGAAATCCATCATGCCACCCAAGTGATGAAGTTCGGCCCAAGGACTAAGGTCTAAGGTCTTAATTCAAGCCTACTAAACAAACAACATAAACACATGTAAAAAGTTAAAACATGTAAATACCTAAAATATTGTTATCGATTATAATACATTTGAGTGGATATTTTTAAATCCCATATTTATTTCCTCAGATGAATATTTTTTTTAATAATTATAATTTAAAGATTTGTTATGCATATAAAACCATTGGCTAATATAATATACCTACACTGTCTACTCCATGGATGTAAGAAATAATAGAATTCACTTCGGTCTCTTTGGTCTCTAGAATTCACAACAAAGTTGTCGGTCGTAAAATGTAAACAAAAAAAAAGAAGAAGAAGGTAGCTCCTAATGTTATTCTTATGGGGGAAAATTAAAATGGTTTTTTTAGGATTTTATAATTATTACTGAACAAATAATCTCCAATAACGAACTTAACCAAGATAATATGATAAAGAACCTTTGTGCAAAACATCAACTTCATATACGTAGTCATTCTCGAGTTTTTGGATTTACATGAGATGCATTTTACACCAGTATGAGAATTCACTTCGTTCATTCAATTAGCAAACTTATTAACTGTTTATAATTAACATGCTCTTCTTCTCACTTTTGATTTCTGACAACAGCTGGAGTTTCATAACAATTTTTGTTTCCAATGTTAATCTTATGGAGAAATTCAAAACTTTAAAGGGCTTCAAGAAGGTTCCCCTGCTAAGACCCAAGTTTGTGCCTTTCAGCTAAACAGTAGAGAAGCAGGCCGTGAGTTGAATGTGCGGTGGCGGGGAGACCGTCTTCATCATTGTCCTACACCCAAATATCTTGGTGTCATACTGGACCGCACACTGACATTTAAGGCGCATTGTATTGCGACAAGAGGTAAAGTCTCAGCGAGGAATAATATCATCAGGAAGCTCACCAGCAGATGCTGGGGTGCTAACCCTAATGTCCTCAGAACATCAGCTTTAGCGCTCAGTGTGTCGGCTGCAGAGTACGCTGCAGCAGTATGGAATGCATCGTCACATGCAAAAAAGGTTCACATTGCAGTCAATGACATGGCTCGGATTGTAACTCCGGGTGTTTGAAACCAACGCCAGTACACAAACTCTATCCTATCATAGGGATTGCCCTTCCATCAATCCGACGTGATGTCGTTGCCGACACAGAAAGGACTAAGCAAGAGACAGACCCTCGTCACCCATTACATGGCCACCAACCTGCAGAGCGACGGCTTCGGTCCAGAAAGAGCTTTTTATCACGGACACGAGTCCTAGATGGATCACTCTCAAGCAATCGGGTGGCGAGGTGGGAGGCCACGTTGACTAACCCTCCCATACCAGCCAGGAAGGAACTGGCTCCTGGTGGAGGCCTTCATTACACGGTGTGGAAGACCCTAAATCGAATTAGGGTCAAGGTACTAAAGTGCAAGACAAACATGCAGAAATGGGGTTTCTTACCAGACGAAGAAAACATCTTGTGCAAGTGTGGTGCTGTTCAGGATCCTGGCCATCTGCTGATCTGCCCACGCCTAGACCAGTCTTGCACATTAGATGATCTTTTACATGCGAATGACAAAGCCATATCGGTAGCTAATTTTTGGAAAAGCGAAGTCTGATTTCCGGACACGGAAAGTAAGTAACATTAGTATTTTCTCTAGGGTGTCCTCTCCGTTGCAAAGCACGGGTACAGCAGCTAGTATATATATATTATATACTAGCTGTACCCGCAGGCTTTGCCCCGTTTAACTTCTTAATTTTCAAGATGAGCTCGTTCGCATGGCTCAATCAAGTCATGGTTAAAGTTTGATCGCTACGCTCACTCACCTTTAGGTTGGAGCTCGTTCGCTGCTCTCACTTGCCTTCAGGTTGAAGTTTGTTCGCTACGCTCGCTCACCTTTTGGTTGCAAATTAGCTATTGTCATAAATAAAAAAATAATAATAGTGCCGCACCCTGTTGTTAATCCTTGTAACTTTAATGCTATTGAACATCATAAAACAGGACCAACTTGTTTAATTGAAACAGCTGATAAGATTCATTAATTCCTTTTAAATATGAAAAATCATAAGGTTAACATGGGAAACTCCAGAGCCAATGGGGCGGAGCCCGAGAGTCCGATCAGAATAAAAACAACTTAGTTTTCCTATTTAATGCCTAAAGAATCGGTGTACCAAATTTCAGCCTCCTAGGTAAATGGGAAGTGGGAGAATTAGTGATGAGTGAGTGAGAGTGTCAGTGAGTCAGTGAGGGCTTTGCCTTTTATAAGTATAGACTGGCTGTACCCGCGGGCTTTGCCCCGTTTAACTTTATATGTGAGCTCGTTCGCATGGCTCAATCAACGTCCTGGTTGAAGTTTGTTCGCTACGCTCACTCACCTTAAGGTTGAAGCTCGTTCGCTGCGCTCACACGTCCTGGTTGAAGTTCGTTCGCCACGCTCACTCACCTTTAGGTTGGAGCTCGTTCGCTGCGCTCACTTGCCTTCAGGTTAGCTCGTTCGCTACACTACCTCGCCTCCGGGTTGAAGTTCGTTCGCTACGCTCACTCACCTTTTGGTTTCAAATTAGCTGTTGTCAAAAAATAAAAAAAAAAATAATAGTGCTGCACTCTGTTGGTAATCCTTGTAACTTGCTATTGAACATCATAGAACAGAACCAACTTGTTTAATTGGAACAGCTGTTATGATTCATTAATTCCATTTAAATATGAGTACTCATAAGGTTAACATGGGGGGGAGCGAGCTGGCGTAGTGGCTAGAGCGCGGGACTTCGGTCCGTGAGGTCCCGGGTTCGATCCCCGCCAAGTCACCAATGGATTTTATCTAAGTGATAATGCCGCAACCCCTAGGTCTAGCCTGAAGTAATGTGAAAAACAATCCCAGGCTCGTGCCTAGCGTCCTAGGACAAAAAAAAAAAAAAAGGTTAACATGGGAAACTCCAGAGCCACTGGGGCGGAGCCCGAAAGTCTGATCAGAATGAGAACAACTTAGTTTTCTTATTTAATGCCTAAAGAATCAGTGTACCAAATTTCAGCCTCCTAGGGAAGTGGGAGAATTAGTGATGAGTGAGTGAGTGAGTGAGTCAGTCAGTCAGTCAGTCAGTGAGGGCTTTGCCTTTTATATATATAGATTAGATATATATGTACAACAAAATTGCATTTTATGACATATTACATTTTTATTGACATATAAAAGAATGTTTTTTTTCAGGTCAAAAAGAAGAAAAAGTTTGATAAGAAGGCCGCATTTATCAAACAAATTGCCCAAGGTTTATCCAAGAAAAATAAATAATTTGTATCCAACTAACTTGTTTTCATATAAATCCTTATTTATTTTCAAACATATTCCTAAAGAGAAATTACAAAACTAATATAGGGTTGTAGATCATACTCATTTTGTGGGATGGGATGAGTATTTCTAAGCAAGAAATAATTCTTATCTCAATGCAAAAAAATGCAGGGATATAAAAATACAACGTTGTAAAATAGCAATTGAAAAGAAAAAACGTGAGAAAAAACCTCACCGCAGCAAAACTGCAGACCAAGGGAACTTCAATTTGTCTGATTAGATTTTAATTTAAAAAAATTCAATTAATAATTCATATTTATTCCACGTTTATATAACATTAAATTTTATATTTAACGAGTACTTAAGTTTGCTGCTACACGGAAAGGGGGAGAGAAAATAGTGTTTTGTTTGGTTAAATTATATCAAGTATAGGATAAAATGAATAAATTTGTCAAACTTGAGCAAAATGTATTCAATAGAAAGCAAACTACAGCAGTTCTCTATTTTTCACAAAAGAGTTTCAAATAATATACATTTTTTTGAAATTTTCTCTGTTTAACTGTATAACAATGCTTCAATATACAAAATTACTATTTTTTTTAAGCTTCACAAGATAGTTTTAATGAAAATTGATCATTTATTAAATTTGGTATTCAGTTTTATCAAGTCATAAGCTGTTAAAATACCCCTGCTGCAGCAAACCTGCCGACTAAGCGAAATTTGCGAATTTGCCTGAATTGATTTTCAATTAATCTATCTATTAAATTAACATTTATGTTTAACGAGTACCTAGGTTAGCTGCAACAGGGAAACTAATAATGTGTGTTTTTTATTAAAATATCAATAGCTTAGAATGAAATACATAAATCCGCCAAGTTTGATCAAAATATTCACTAGTTACACAAATAACTATTTCATTTACACCAACAAATTTTTGTCACACTGAGCACCAATCACCCTGTATATATTTGAATGATGATATTTTGGCCTCTGGAGACTTAAAAACGAAAAAGTAAATCGGTCCCGGGTCCAGGCACGGCCCGGCCATCTTCAACTCCAGGCCGCGGCCTTCGAAGTGGCAGTCGCAAAAAAGTAGTGTTCTAACAGCTGCTTTATTTGGAAGCAGCTAATGGTATTATTTGTGTATTTTTTAAGAATACGCATGCTTGGTTACTGGGCTATGGAAATATTGACTCCATTTTAAATTCAGAAATAGATTTAAATAAATACGTACGGTATGGTTTACAGTATGTTCATCAATTTAAATGAATAATACGCGAATTAATTAGCTGGTGTCACCTGTCTGCCATGTTATCTTAAGGGACGTCAAGCGCTAAACAACACTACTTGCAACGTTGCCAATTCTACTAGGCCGCGGCCTGGAGTAAGTTGGTGGCTATGGTCCAGGTCTTATTCCCTGATATGGGAAATTCGCTAATAAATGAACAAATTGCGTCACTGGCCCACAAAATTAAACTTATCATAATTGTAAAATCTGGTTCAGTTTTATATTTAGCATGTATTACATCCAATTTTTGTTTAAATAATAAACGTAGTTTGTGTTATGGTCCATACCATATAATCAATGTCCATATCAATATTCACGTACTATGGAGAACTTTGTGGTTGCAAAGTCAGCATCGTAGCCTGCCAAGTGAAAAATATTAAAGTTGAAGCTCTCGTTTTCCTTCGTTGCTTCGTTCGTTTTTTATCTTTTTTATTCTTACTCTTGGCTTTAAGGTTTTAAGGTTAGGTCAAGTTCAATCAAGTTTATCTCTACTCTACTAGTCTACTACATTACATTATCTTTCTTTAATCTTTACTTCTCTTGTCTCTACTCTATCTATCTGCGTGGAAGTGAAACCAAGGATTCTTCTAGTGTGATAAAATTTTAAGTTTTGTTTTGAAATAGGGCCTAGGTACATTTACATTGATCGTGATTGCATCACTTGAAGTAGTAGTAGGCCTAAGTTGCTGATAATATTTTTTTATTACTATGGAATTGAGTGTTATGTGACTTTCCATACAAAAAATGAGTGTGGAGGAGCATATTGCAAGTATAGATAATGAAAGACCTATTATAAATGAAGTATTTGATGTAGATGATAGTAATTATCATTTATTTTTAGAACAGCATGAATTCCAACTTAAATCGAACAATATCCCTGAACACTTTTGGAAAGCACTATGTCTGAAACTTGAGAATCAGGTTTTTGATGCTGGCAATGCATTCTCTATGTTGTATGTTGAGCCTGAGGATGAAACTGATGAAGCTACATTAAAGGTAGTTGTATCAATTGATTCAATTGACCCTAGTGATGGAAACAACATTTTTCTAATCGATCATGCCTGGACCTACAGAGCAAGTGAAGCTGTTACTCATCTTCAAACTATACCTGGTTTATTGGAACGGATGGCCAAGCTGATGAATGTTCCCATTGAATCTGAAAATACTATGGATTGTGTATTTGACCGGATGTGGAAGTTTAACTTGACTTACTCCTTGCCTTCTTTGAACAGTGTTGAAGATAAGTTACCCATATGGTACATAATGGACGAATTTGGCTCTTCCATTAAGCATTCAAGTAACCCCAACTTTAGAATTGTGCCATTCCTGCATATTCCTGAAGGAATAGCATACTCATTGTTGTTTCCAAACGAGATTGTTACTAAGGGGGATGAAGTAACAAGAGATTATGTTGAAGGTATCACTGATGAAGCTTATAAAAGAGCGCATCTGTTACCGTGGATACATCACTCTTTCAGGGATGTATCTTTTTACCAAACTGAGCCACAAGAAGAGTACTTCATTTCAGGCCGAACAAATGAGACACTTCCAAATTTAAATGCTCTTGTTACGAAAAACACAAACGGAGAAGCTACCAATTTACGGCCACTTAAGGTTTTCTCTCAGTACATTTACGTCAACGAATACTTAACAAGCCCTAAATTCATAGTAGTTGCAGAAGAAGAAGATGCTGATATTTTGTGGTTAACTTCCCATTTTAAGAAATACAAAGAACTCAGTGAAAACTGCCCATTCAAATTTATCAATCAGTTTCCTTTTGAATGTGTTATAACTATTAAAGATTTATTAGCAGTTATTTGTAGACGAACATCAACTAATGATACACAGGATATTGTCACAACATTAGGTTCTCGTTCTGTGGAAGATGCTCAACCTGCTTGGTTGCCTGTAACGTATAACCTCTCCACCGAGTTACAACAATTTATTAGCTGTTTTCAACACAGAGAAGATAATAGGTTTGATAATCATTGGATTTGTAAGCCTTGGAACCTAGCTAGGGGTATGGATACTCTCATAACAGACAATTTGGACTGTATCATTCGAATTTCCAGAAGTGGGCCAAAAATTGCCCAAAAATATATTGAAAACCCAGTCTTGTTTTACCGTGATGGAATTGGACATGTGAAATTTGATGTTCGATATGTTATTTTGCTAAAGTCTGTCCATCCTTTGGAACTGTATGTGTACAAAAACTTCTTCTTGCGTTTTTCAAACAAACCTTTTGAGATGAATGATTTTCATGACTATGAAAAGCATTTTACTGTTATGAATTATAATGAAAATGCAACACTACATCGTCTGCTTTGTTCAGACTTTATCAGAGAGTTTAATATACAATATCCTGATAATCAGTGGTCACAGGTTGAACCAACAATCTTTTCAATGATGAAGGATATCTTTGAAGCGGCCTCAAACAAGAATCCACCTTGTGGAATAGGAAAAAGTCCCCAGTCTCGTGCATTGTATGCTGCAGATTTGATGCTTGCTACAAATGGAGATCAACAGTTTCAACCAAAGATCTTAGAAATCAACTGGACACCTGATTGTCAAAGAGCGTGTGAATACTACCCTGATTTTTACAATGATATATTTGAGCTCCTGTTTTTAGACGAAGAAAAAGATGTTTTTCACAAAGTTGTTTAAAGTTTAAGCTACTTAGCTATAGCCTATGGCCTATTTGTTGAACATAGATAATGGGAAGTCGAGGAGTAAAAGTGTCTTATTCACTGATTTTTCACTTCCTACTTCAATAGGCCTATAAAAAAGTAGGTAGGCCTACTGTTTTACCAACTATAAAGAAAAAAAGAATCAATAAAATGATTTAGTAACCAATAACTTATGTTTTGTTCACAGAAGGTTATCGAATTAGCCTATAGAAAGAGCTAGAGACTTTACCTTTTTTCGGAACATTAGGAAGCTAGTAAACTTAGGCCTAGTTACTTTGATACTTTGTAGTACAGTAAAACCCCTCATATCCGGCCACCACGGGACCAAGCCCATGACCGGATAACGATTTGGCCGGATAAACCAACCTACTATGAAAATGACAATTCATACCTAATAATAATAGGTGGGTAATCAATATATGCAATCAAAAGTATCATTTAATTCTGTCCTGGGATTATTTTTATAAAAATAAACATATGTTTGTAATAAAGGAAAAAAAATATTTGTAGGTTAAAGTCATTAAGTAATGAATGTACAAATATTATGATTCCAGGTAACAAAACATATTAAATGGAGGTAAAAATGACAATAAGTTGTACTTAAAGACATTAGGGCTTAAAGGGTACTTTAATTTCTACTCAACATTTATAACCATTTTTTGAAATACAAAAATTAATGTACTCGTACTGTACTGTACTAAACCCACTTCGGAAATAATCAACCAACTGATCAGAGGTTAGGCCTACTAGCTCAACTGAGTATAGTGACTCAGCAAATAAATGTACAAACAAACAGATAAATAGTGAGAACAATTTATTTTATGACTTGAGCAGTCACAAAGACTAGTGCTTGCTTCTGAACGTATGTAAGCTGTGAGAAAAAAATTTTGATATTGGCTTCCTGGAAGGGGCCGGATAAACAGAGGACCGGTAAAACCAAGGCTGGATATGAGGGGTTCTACTGTATGCTTCCCTATGTGTTTTTTTTATATCGGTTTAACCCAACGATCACATAAGACCAATAGATGGAGCACACCTATCTAACTAACATTAAAGCAGGTGAAGCCAGGTCCGCCATCTTACTGTAGGTTAGAAACGCTAGATGTTGATGAAAACGGCACCAAAACCCAATGTTCCGCTTCTAAGTAACTCAACATTTAGCCTACTTAGACTAAAGGTAAATCGTTGAAACTTTGTATGAATGATATCAATAAGTCTATGACACTATTGGTTTTAATTATGAGCTTTAAAGTTAGTATTTTCCATTTTAAATCTTCGTCGGTAGGTACTTTTAAATGAGTTTTAAAATATGACATGAAAAAGTTCGTTGGCTGCTACTTTTTTTATTTTTTGTTCAGGTAAGGTAAAAAAACAGTGGATTTGTAGCTAAAGAGTTGAATTTTTTGGATCATATTTTTTAAATTTTTAGCTGGTGTAGTTTGGTTGTAATTTAAATTGTAATTTAGAGGCTACCCGCCGCGCCACGTGGCGTCATGTGGACAGATTCTGCCTACAACCTCACTTGTAATACAGTTTAGATACTCAAGTTTGGAGCTATACAGAAAAGTTACTAAAATAATTAGAAAATCACGGAGTGCATATAAATGTTCTTCGTTTTATTTTTAGTATGTATTCATCTAAAAATTAATATTTTTGAGCTCTTTCACAAAAATTAATATGACAGTCAGAATACAAAGGAGAGTTGTATAAAGAGTTTCAGAAACTATCTTGTGACTTTGAAAATTCGTACATTGTAAACCAAACGCCAGAACTTTTATCAAACTTTAATACGATAAAGATTTATATATTATAAATTAATTTGTTGCTTTTCAGAATTATTCATTCACCCAAAAAGTTTTTGTTGTTAATTATGTAAACTAACTTTTTCTAAGAAACGGTAACTTAAACGCTAGAAAACTAATTAAAAGTATATTTTGAAGGTCATTGTGTTTGTAATAGAAATGTTTATAACACAAAGGTGTATTGTCACGGATATCATTGATATAAACTAACATTTAATTAGTTGCGCCCGCTATTAGGGCTCATCACAGCCGGCAGCCGCCATTTTGTTGTAGATTAGTGAAAAAAAACTGGCTCATGTCACGGCCAACATGCTCTATCTATTTGTCTTATGTGATCGTTGGTTTAACCTTTATATTTTATAAAGTAAAGACCTGAAAATATCTCACAATGTCTTGAAAAAAAAACTAGGCCTACAAACCGTACTTCAAAGCTAAAACAATCTTAGTTTACATCAACAGGCTTTTTTATTAATAAGTAAAATTTCTTCAGTAGGTATTTTAAAAATAAGGAGCTGTCATTAGACTATTTTGATAAATTGTTAATTATGTACTGCTTCTTTTACGATAGAAAAAAAGTTTTCAATTTTGATTTAAAGAAAATATTTAATAAGTATCTGTGATTTTCTGTAATATTCAAGAGCGAAACAAGGAAAAACTTATTTAAGTTGGTCTTGTCCCAACCAGTCGGTCCTTACCGTCCAGACCGGGACTGGCCACTTCAGTCTCGCACCCTCGCTACTGATGGCTAGCCCGAGTGACTGTCGCACCACCAGCGGGCCATGTTCTCATGCTACTTATTACGCGCAGCCACAGTCGCTGGCCACACCGCATTCCCCACTCCCTACCTTGCATCAGTCATGATTTTTGTGTCAAAATTAAAATTTTATAATAATTATGGTTATATTAACATCAAAACTATTATAATTTAGGCAAGTGGGGCATTGTGGCTTATAGGAGTGAGCACGCCCGCCTTACCTCTTTGGATTCTTCCAAGGGCATTCTGGTTTTGAACATCAATGTAGAGTTTTAACTAATATTATTGTGTTTCAGTGTTTGTAAAACGTGCAATTGTTAAATCAACGAGATATTGTTTGATTTGACAATATTTTACGGAAGTCAAACTCATTTGATTTTACCTCTAAAATGTACTTTTTAGTTGTGAGATGGTAACATATTTTTTTAGTAGTTTGCTGCCTGGAAAGTAAATAACAGTCTCTTTATTTGATCACACATTTTGTATTGTAAGCTGTAATGAGAGGAATAGTATAGATAATAAATATTATATGTTTCCTACAGTTACCTAACAATGTACATGTTCTCTCACTGATTTGAGAAAGCAAAGTGGCCAATTCGCTCATCAGTGAAGACACTAAATAGTGAGCGCGTAACATGCAGACAAGGTCGTATGCGCGCGTAATACGTTGGCAGCTCTGGCTGTAAATCAGCTGGTCAGCTGCTGTAGTGTTATTTTCACATTAAATGTCATATTAAAAGTTCACTTCTGTGTAAAAATTTGTACCGGACAAGAAAGCGAGCTAATAAAAACGTTTTAAAATAAGTTATGTTTCTTTACCAATTTATTTGTTTTATGGTAACTGTAGGAATGTGCAACTCGAGTGCAAATTGCAATTGCTCACTAGTTGCACAAATAACTATTTATCAATCAATATTTTTTTTTTAATGATGTATTTTTAACGTGTTGGTATTTGTTAGGGGCTAGGTTTTAAGACATATTATCTTCAAGACGTACTTACAACAATTTTTACTAGACATAGCACCTTTCACTACGTTTAGAGTTTTGTCAGGGATTTTGAAATCCCAATTGAGTTAACAAAAAAAGTGTTTAAAATGCACGATGAATTTGTCTTTTTCCACTATGGGATGTAACCAACATTTACATTTATTCTTCTCTCTGTTTTTTTTTTATTTTTTTTTTATAATATAAACCTTGCGTAACTGATTGACTGTGTAGTGAGTGAGCAGGGAGGGATTGTGGATTGTGGACACGGAAAATTGTTTTCTGGCTAGTGTGGCATGCTCCACCTTACCTCACCTGGTTGGCCTGAAAAGTCTATTTCGTAAGACGAGAGTGGGATGGTCAGACCATTCCTCACTTATTACGTGTGACAAAAAAACCTATCTTAAGTTAAAAACTACCAAGTGTGGCCTCGGCCTTAGGAAAATTCTACTAAACAAATTCTGGCAGCTCAAAGAGTGCCTGGGAACCTCACCTTACAAAATAGAAATGCAAGGTAATTCTGTAATCAGGCACTGACTGAGTGTGGAAGTTTATGTAACAAATTATTAATTATGTTAGAACTATTTTATTGCTTTTTGTTTTTTATTTGAATCTTGAGTTTTGTTTTTGATTTAAATATGAGTTGTACAAATTATATATCCTTTTTTTGTAATAATTGGTGGTATTTGAATATGTTACTTTATTAGTAATAATAAATTAATGTTAATTTAAAATTTGTATTATGTTTGAGATGGATTAAATACTTTCCTTTATGATCTATGGTTTTGATGTTTCCTTAAAAACAAAGATTTATTACATTATTTGGGTCTGGTAAAAAAATTGAAACACCTTAAAGAAATGCAATTTTTCTATTTATTTGGTACAATGGTACAAAGGTTAGGCTGGTTACATAATGGTGTTTCATACCATGCCTGCCTTTTACATAATATCCATAAAAGGTTTGTTGCAGAGAAAAAAATACTGAATCATAAAGGTTACTAAAATTTACCATATTTGGAACAGAAAAAAATTATATTTACGAAAAACAGCCTAATTTTTAGTACTTAAGATAGAAGATGTATGTTGTGAAGCAATGGGTTAATATCATAAGTCAACTCTTGGTTTAATTGGTGCTTGCTCGAGAAGAAACGACTTGTTTAGTGAGCTCTTACAAGTCATTTTATTTTTGGGAATGATTTTATACAGTCTGACAAAATATTTTTAAGAACGTCACAGAGTTCCCTATTGGTGATAGATCCTTTCCCTCAGATTGCAAATAAAAGATTATGAAGATCATCTCAGTTCACCAGTAGGAAAGACTGAATAGTAAGTTGAACTGGTTTGGAATAATTCAACCGCTAAATGCTGAACAACGGTAAAAGCACAATTAAAAACTTTGTTACCTAAAGTTTTTCTGTATAAGTAGTAAAATTTAAATTAAATAAACCTAAAATAAAAGTTATGCAATTGGCTTGAAATTCAAGAAAATGGTTTCTAAGTAACAAAAACATAATCAACAACTTCATTTAATATTTTTGGGAAGATAAAGAAATTACAAGAGTAAACAAAATTTTCAGTAGATCATATACAAGTCAAGTGAGTACCATAAAACAAAAATAACTAATTTTACTCCTTTACATTGACCATTAAACCTCAAGGACAATTAGATCTATATTTAACCAGGACAACTTGTTTATTATCTACATTTTATGTTTAAGTACTCTGAAAATTAATTTTACCCAATGCATACTATAATTATCATTTAATTAATATAAAAAATGTTTTATGGAGTCAAATTAGCTTATTCCTAAATAAGAAAACCTCTGAACTTAGTGTAAGAAACCCCCATTTACACATTACAAAATAATAACATTGCACTACCTCTTAGAGCCCCAGAGATTTATTCATTGATTTAAATATGGTTATTCAGATTATTCAAGAAAATTGTGATTGACATACAGTAAGTGTAAGTAAAAAGTTGCACAATTTGAGTTGCAATTCACAACAGCAATCCCCATCCATCCATCTGAGCTATCTGCTGTTTACTACCGCAGACAAGTGAGTTAATGGACGGAAACGTCAGAATGACGTCTACCATGCTGACTCCTGGCTGGAGAGCCAACACCTAGTCTGCCTCTCTAACAGTAATAATTGGAAAACAAAAGCCCAAACATTGTAATTTTCAGCAATTTCAGGATGCAGCACATTATTAAGTACAGTACTACACAGCTGTTTTTGTCAAACTATACTTGGATAGATGTCAGTGGGAAGTAGCCTATCCTTAACTCACATATAAGTTTCAAAAACTAGTGAACGAGTTAGAATTTAAAATAATACAAATGCATTGGTGTTACTGAGATTGAAAGAAGTTACAACTGCCATTTTGAGTATTTTGTAATGTGTAATACTTGTTGGTATTTATACGTTGTTTTAAAACTTACTCAATGTTTTCAGAATGAATGATGTCCACTGCTAAAGTTCTGGGTGATTAAAAAAATACATACAAACAAATGTTTCCTAAAAGAAAGAAAGGAGTTACTTAAATGCACAAGATGACTGACAAACATAATAGTTTGCTGCCAAGGCACTCGGAGATGGATGCTTTGGCTCAAAGAGGGTACATTATGGGTGCTAAAATAGGACAAGGCTCGTACGCAACGGTGCATTTAGCAAACTATCAAGACCCTAGAACAGACAAGCAGCAACAATTAGCTTGCAAAATATTTGACAAAGATAGAGCACCTCAAGACTTTTTGGACAAATTCTTCCCCAGAGAACTGGATATCCTAACTAAACTAGAAAACCAATATATAATTCAAGTTCACAGCATTCTCCAAAGAGGTCCAAGAATATTTATTTTCATGAGATATGCAGAAAACGGAGATTTGCTGGGGTTTGTCAAGAGACATGGGATAGTAGCAGAACAGAATGCGAAGGAATGGTTCCGACAAATGGCAAGCGGAATACAATATCTTCACAGCAAGCAGATAGCTCACAGAGATTTGAAGTGTGAAAACATTCTTCTCACCAGGAGGTACAATGTTAAACTGACCGATTTTGGATTTGCCAGATATTGTGTGGACATGAATGGACTAAAAGTACTTAGTCAGACTTACTGTGGATCTGCGGCTTATGCTGCACCTGAGGTTGTGTGTGGAACTCCCTACAACCCTAAAATGGCTGACATTTGGTCTTTAGGAATCATTCTTTTTATTATGTTGAATGCGTCTATGCCTTTCAATGATGATGACTTGAAGGCACTACTTAGAGAACAAGTAGCAAAGAAGTATGCGTTTCGAACTAAAGTGAAAGATATTCTTACATCAAATGCCATATCAATGGTAGATGGGATATTGGAACCGGATCTGGCTCAAAGATTCTCTTTAGACACAATTTTGTCTCATTCTTGGCTGAAATCTTCCTCTCACCAATCAAGAAATTCTTCTATCTCTTCATGGCAACCAGTCTCCAAAGCCAAGAACTCAGACAGGCACATGTCTCCTAGTCGAAGACCAACATCTAAAAAAACTCACTGTCGCTTAGACAGTGACAAAATATAAACTAACAATAAACAATTCTACCCATTTAAGTAATTTACCATGTAGTAAAATTTTCAATTAGTATATACTTTAATAATTTACTTTGAAATGGCGACCATACGAATATTAATTATTAACTATCACTCAGCTAAATATTATAATATTATCATTCACTATTAGTGGGACACTTTTGTTAATCACTTTAACAATTGAAAACTAATACCGAGACAAATAAATAAAGAACAACAAAACAATCCAAACAAATACCACTTGAACAGAAGTAGTTTAATTAAACATTTTTCTTTGAGGATTCATCCTTAATTTAAAATGTTTGTACAAAAAACTTGCACCAATTTGATAAATAGGTAGGCCAGAAGAAAGATCTTCAAATTTTATGATATCGGAAAGCAAAATCCAAGAGATTTGCATTCTAATTTTTGAATAATTATTACAAAAACCACTAAAAGATTAATAATATGATTTATTCAAATACATTTTACACACATACAGTATTATGCTAATTCCTAGTTGCTTTTTATTGAGTGTTGAGTATAGAGTGAAAATGTGTATTTGGATGGTCAGTTCATTGACATATTAATAGTACTGCTAGGAACCAGCGACAAAGACTGGCATTTCCTATATCATAATACAGCATATCCTGAAGACTTTCTGTTCCATATAGGTACCTTTCCACACCTCTCCGCCAGCTACTGGTGCAAAATTTAATTTTCACGTCATTTAATAACACAAAAACATATAATATAAATAAATATAATAAATAATACAGGGTGTTTTTTATAAACGCAACGCAATAGTTAATTACAGACACACTTTTTGACAATACCAGCTTATATGATGGTAAACTTATATATTTTTCCTTTACTTCATTACCTAATAGCTAAATATGCATTGTTTCATGGATATAAGACTTAACATGGTTTTTTCGCAATCTTAAATAGAGTGTAGTTTTGCGTTTGTTTTTTTTTTTCTAAATATATGGTTTTTGGGCTATTTTGTGAACAGAACTTCTCCTAGAGTTTTCAACCGATTTTGAAGTTTTTGGTGTCATTTTAAAGAGTTTACTCTGGAGTTGTGTTAACCTTAAAATGAGCTCAATGAATGGTAAGGGCTTTGCCCCAGCGGCCCCCCAAAGTTGCCATGTTAACCTCATGGAATGGAATAATAATATTGAAATCAGCTGTTCATTTAGTTTTTAATTTGAAGTTTTTTTTTTTCTTAGAATCTTACACATGTGATTCTCATTAATTTATTCATCTTTGTAGTTACTCATTCAGAAAATTTCTACTAGCTTAAACAGTGATATGATAAACTCAAGGATACAAGTTGCAAAAGGGGTTTTTAGCGAATTTTCCCTTTAGGGAATAAGCTATTACCGTAGTACTCATGGTAACACCTGGACCCGGGACCAATTTACTTTTTCGTTTTGAGGTCCCTAGAGACCAAAAACACCATCCGTTCAAATTCATATATATATATATATATATATACTAGCTGTAACCCGCGGGCTTTGCCCCGTTTAACTTCTTAATTTTCAAGATGATCTCGTTCGCATGGCTCAATCACGTCCTGGTTGAAGTTCGTTCGCTACGCTCACTCACCTTTAGGTTGGAGCTCGTTCGCTACGCTCACTCACCATTAGGTTGGAGCTCGTTCGCTGCGCTCACTTGCCTTCAGGTTAGTTCGTTCGCTAAGCTCACTTGCCTTCAGGTTAGCTCGTTCGCTACGCTAACTCGCCTCCAGGTTGAAGTTCGTTCGCTACGCTCACTCACCTTTTGGTTGCAAATTAGCTGTTGTCATAAATGTTAAAGGAATAATAGTGCTGCACCCTGTTGGTAATCCTTGTAAGTTTAATGCTATTGAACATCATAGAACAGAACCAACTTGTTTAATTGAAACAGCTGTTAAGATTCATTAATTCCATTTCTCATAAGGTTAACATGGGAAACTCCAGAGCCACTGGGGCGGAGCCGATTGGACACGGATCACGAAATTGATGGTGTATAAACCTATTCCATGAAATTCTACACGTATGTACCAAGTTTCGTGGTCATCGGTCCAGCGGTGTCTGAGTTTATCACTGCCAAATATACCAACATCCTCTTTTATACTTATAGAAGATAAGATTTTTATATATACAGTGTGATTGAAAAGTCCCGGAACGGTTTAATATTTTAAAAAACAATGCAGATAGAGCTAAAATACTTGGTACAAAGTTACAGGGCATAAAACTCTATTTTAACACATATTCAGTGACTCAATAACTCTTCAGGGGGACGTCCCACAAGGAGTCAGAAGAAAATCTTAAATGGAAGCATAGGTCAATATGCACATCAAATTAAAGGTCTTTTTTAGTAGAATACAATGCCGCAAACCACACTTCAAAAGGTTGATCCTGCGCAAAATGACAGTTGTTCAAAGATTCATTTAATTTACATTGCTATTATACGCTTTCTCCTCAGGGGGCACAGCCCTAGGAATCGGAAGAAAATTGTTAACGTAAGAATAGGTCGATATGCACATCAAATTAAAGGTCTTCACTTTTAGATTACGATGCCGTAAATTCAAGCTCAAAAGAATGCCTGAGTAAAAAATGGCAGTCGTTCAAAGATTCAAAATGGCGGATTCAAGAAATCTTTGAACATATGCCATTTTGTGCAGGATCAACCTTTTGAAGTGCGGTTTGCGGCATTGTATTCTACTAAAAAAGGCCTTTAATTTGATGCGCATATTGACCTATGCTTTCGTTTAAGATTTTCTTCCGACTCCTTGTGGGCCGTTCCCCTGAAGAATTATTGGATCACTGAATATTTGTTAAAATAGAGTTTTATGCCCTGTAACTTTGTACTAAGTATTTTAGCTCTATCTGCATTATTTTTTTTAATATTTAACCGTTCCGGGACTTTTCAATCACACTGTATATTTTTATATGTGTCCGTTAGCGCGATAACTCGAGCAAAAATCATCAGATTTTGATGGTACAATTGTGTAAACCTATGTTTATTCGAACGAGTTCGCGAACCAGCATGATTGGACTATGGGAACAGGGGTTTATGGGGGGTTTTATGGGGTAAAAATTGGTTTTCCCCATTTTTGACCCTAAATACTTAAAATGTAGCAATTTCTTTCCAAAGTATTTTGTAGAGCTTTAAAAAACAATTAATTTAGTATATTGAAGCGTTGTTATGCGCCTAATGGTTACGGAGAAAATTCCAAAAATCTGTAAATTTAAAATTCCCATGTTATTCTTATGGAGAATAAGTAAACTGTTGTAGTTTGCTTGTTTATAAACATATTTTGATCAAATTTGGAAAATGCATTAATTTCATACAAAACTATTACATTTTACAAAAAAATACCTTTTTACCCTCCCTGTTGCAGCAAACCTAAGTACTCGTTAAACTAATGTTATTTAAATAGAGAATAAATGTGATATTTTTAAGGAGACACTTTAGTGGAAATCCAGTCAGGCAAATGGAAATTCGCTTAGTCTGCAGGTTTGCTGCAATTATCAAAATAGTTAACACCCAAGTTTTTTTTATATTATATTTATTATAAGAGTGTATAAAGTAAGCCCATCCCAGCAAATGAGTCTTCTGTATCTGGTATATCAGTGAACATTGATGAGGCAAATCACCTACAAATTACTCATTATTAACTATTGAAGTAATTTAAAGGTTGATAATTGACAGACTGTTTAACAACTAAGACCCCAAAAGTTTGAGAGACCAGTGTTTGGCAAGATTTTCTGACTTTGTTTGATTTGCAAACATTTGGGAAATGACCGACTTTTTTGCAAAGTCCACATTTGTATTGTTTAGCTGGACAGTTGAATCTTATTTTGTGTAAAACTGTCGAACCACACCAAAAACATCTCATTTCAACATTGAACATGCTTTGATTGTAATTAATTGGCTTAAAATATTGATTATTGTTTGATTTATTAGGACAAATGTTTGTTTTACTTAAATGTTGAGTGTTTTTGTTTATTAATGATATGTCAGCCAAGTTTAGTGTTTGTTTCTGTCTTGATAGTTCTTCAGATCCAGGGATAGTGTTAATAGCTGTGTTTAGTTTTAATTCGGGTTCAAGTTGAAGACGATCACTTGGTATTTGTCCCGCATACCGGTAATCAAAACCATCAGAACCATTTTCTCTTCAATCTGACCCCAATCATAGTTTTTTGTATGATTGTAAAGGTCTGTGATAAAAGTTCTCAATTGGCATAGAACCCTGTTTAAGCTTTTTTTAGAAACCTAGACCGTTCAAAAATTTGGTTCTTTTTTGGAAGGAAATGATCGTCAAAGAACAACTTTTTGTAATTAGATTTGTCATTTGTCATTTAACCTGAATGAGTTAAGTATATCCTCTCCCTTTTATCCCAAACAGTAGATAAGCATGTCAATTTTATGCTCACCAGAACGTAGACTTAATTTGCTAAGGGAATAATATCTCTCAAAGCGAGTCTTCCATGTATTCCAGTCGTGAGGACTGAAGAAAAAGGCTTCAGGAGGCTTAATGTTCTGGGATACGGGTTCTTCATTTGACTACGCCATGTTCTATTTCTTAATTAGATAAAAATTAAAAGATCAAAAGACACTAAACTGTTTTTAATAAAGACAAAAATACAAGACAACATCAGTAAAGAAAGTTAATAAAAAAATATGGTTAAATAATAATTAAATAAACATAGAGGTTGAACAGTAATGTTTGTTTGTTTAAGTTGTTGTGTTAACTAACTACCAGTTTATTAAAATGGTTTTCTAACATGTCTTATATTTATTTTATTCTACTATTAAAATCAGTTTATTACAACAGTCAACTTATTATGACTTATGAAAGTTTATGTGATTTGGAAACAATTTTATTTTATTTCCAATAACAAAATTATACTAATATAGAGAAAGTTAAGAACTCTTAAATTTTAGATATGTGAAAGTGAAATAAATTAAAACATTTGTTTGGTATTGCTAACAGTTTGTAAGGGAAAAATTTAATTGAAAATTTAAAGGTACTAAGAAAGTTTGGTTCAGTAATAACATGAAAAAGTTGTCAGTAATTAGGGTTTAGAGAAATGTAAAATAATAACACCGCCCCAGTTTTGTTGTTAATTTGGTCTTTAATCAATGGCCTAATTGAATTCATTTAACAAATCTAGTCCATACATAAAATTAGATTTTGAAATCTCTCATAAAATGTAATGAAATTACCATTACCTCTTATAACATCAGGAGCTTGACTCCTAGTTGCCCTAAATCTTTATTAATTAGAAAGTGCAAACAAATTTTTTGGAAAAATTGTGGTTGTAAAGGTTATAAAAATATGACAAGAAGCAGTCATTAGTTGTAGAGAGGTGCCATCCTAGGGTCACGTTGTAGCCAATCTTCCAGCATCTGATAGCGAGCAGAAGCCAAGTCTTTGTGCCTGCAAAACAAGTTTACATTGCTTTGAAAATAATAAGTCTAAACCAGGACCTAGTGGAGTGGAGTAGTCGTAAAATGTCCAGTGTGGGAACGCTCACCATCGTCTAAGGACTTACTAATGTCAGGGGTGCCCATCCCCCCCTAGACTCATGACGCAAACCCCCCCCCCCCCAAATTGAGCACCAGCCCCCCCCCCACCATAAATGAGAAACATTTCCCCCGCTCAGCATTATTTGTAAAACTAAATGAAGTTTTATAAATTTTTGTATGTATTGAAAATTCAAACCCAGTTAATCTATATAAATAAATTTATAGTTTTGTCTGTACGTTGCTCAGAATTATACATATTTTGGGTTATTTTTAAGCTTTATACATTAAAGAAGTAGAAACATGTTTATCTCAATTTATGTCCGTGTGTCACGGCCCAGAAGGCATTTTATGCAGCCTACCCTAAAGAAAACTAAAGTACCGATTATGATTCTAATGGTTTAATTGTATTCGAGTGAAAATTTAAAAACGTACGTTTTCATGTCCCTGGCCTTTTACTTCGTAGATACTGGATTTGTAGTTTATTATTATGTGTTTTAATATTTTTTGGGACGGGGGCAACATGTTACACACATTTTTTTGGTTTTAAATAGGTTCTAGGTATTTTTTTCGTATTTTTAAAGTCTCAAAATTCACGACCATGACGTGTCCCTAGGGTACATTTTCCAACTTTCATGCTGTTTTTAGACTAATTATTCATGCCGAAATATATAAAGCCATATTTTTATGTCATCAATGGTTATTAAACTTACAAAAAAGGAGCATATTATAATTTTATTGTCATTGCAGACTGACTACCATGACAAAATAAGTCTGTCCCTCGATTTAGCGTCACGACCATTTGGGAAAAATTTTCAACTTTGGAGCACGACAGTGGCAAGCCTGGCGTCGATGGAGTCAGTTGGTTTTAGAGACTAGTTCGGGGTGTACGTCAGGATTATAGTGCCGGTCGTTGAAAGGAGGAATTACAAGATTAGTAAAGGAAAGATTGTGTTTTTTGTAATTTTGGTGTGTCCATGACCGTACGTAGTCATTCGATGAAGTAGACATGGTGTTCATTTTTGTTTATAAGATATTTCAATTGCTAGATTAAACTAGAAGTCCACTTTGTATCCTCGAACATGAGGTGCAGGGCTACCGCCAGAACAGAGCCAAATAACACATAATTTCACGACCAAAGTTTCACGACCATCGCGGGTTTTTTCACGACCAATCCACCCTTATGGATTTATAGTGTGTTTGGTCGTGACAATAACTTTAATATAATTGTAAATTGAACAGTTTAGTTCAATTGAAACACATAGTTTTATTATAACTAACAGTATAATTGAAGGATTGTTTAAAAAGATTTAGATTATTCCAGACAATTCACGACCGTGCCGCTTGTCCCTGACCATCACGTTTATGATTTCTATCATACAAATTTCAAAAATTAAAATATCGTCATATTTCAATGTTTTATACACAAAAGAAGCACACCTCTATACAAACATAACGATTTTTTGGGTCTCAGGTAAGTTTTTTCGGAGTTATACAAACTTAAATAGATTTTATTGGCTTTTTTCTATTTTTTGAGTTTTTTATATTTTTTTCTAGAAAGACCAAATATACCAAAAGTTCAGTGACCTTTTTATTGTATAATGGTCATAAAAGTAAATTAGTTTATAGCAAAACATAGTTATAAAAATAATATTAACTATTTTTAATATTCATTTAAACGTCCGTTATGGTCGTGACTGGATTTTGTGTTTTTCTACTAAAGATGCTCTTTAAAAAGAAAACTACCAAAGATATTGCGTTACCATGGACATTTTATGAAACTTCAAATGTTAATAAAATAAAAAAATAATAAAAGTTTTGAAAAAAGGGGAAAAAAATTTGCAAAGTGCTTTTCCTGAAAACGTACGTTTTTAAATTTTCACTCATTCACAGGATTGGCAAGTGTGTGGTGCCATTAAAATATGGCCTCACTATTTTGGAAATAAAATTAACAGACTATCAAAAACCCAATTTTATGTGATTTTTTCAACTTTTTTCTCCATATTTACTATTAGTCATTTATTAAATACTAATAATCTGTTAAGAGAACACGTCATATATGATATTACGAACAGCTGTTTTGATAAAGATTCCTTTTCCTAGCTGTCACTGATATGTTTACATAAATGTTGTTTACGAATACTGTGTAGGACCTAACCATTTCCGATCACGTTTGTAAGCAAATCCAAAACCAAGAGAGATTAATAACCGTGTGGCTTACATAACGGGTTTGATTTATCATGGGTACTAATATGTAACTGTAAATTAAATTAAATAACTAGCCATCATCCAGATTGGGAACCGGAGATTCTATATGTATCTAGTTGTACTTGAATTTTGATTACCGGGAAAAGACTGAATCAGTGTTGTACAGGACTGGAAAACTTATCTTTATATATATATAACATTAGAGTTTTATAAGTCACCTCAATTTAAGGATTTTTTTATTGCCAGAATATCTACATAGCGTTCGTAACCTCTGCTTAATGATTTGTCAGCGTCTTTATCTTGATATAACGATCCCCTCTTCCTCCCACATAATCGTTTTTGAAACATTACAGCTCCTTTGATGAAAATGAAATGGAAAAATGACTTCAACTTCAACGCTTGCACCAACAATCGTCTGCTCCGTTTTACACTTATGTTCGCTGTGCGCATATGTCGCAACAGAATTCAGATCCAACAGCTGGGGAATGATGATGATAATGCTTAGTAAACTGTGATTGAGTGATTAGTAACCATGGTAACTTTATTAAGGCTGTGATTGGGCAATCAGTAGGCCTAAATATGGCGACTTGTTGAATTAGTGTATGAATTGAAGAGAAACCGAATAAAGAACAGAAGAACAAAGAAAAAGAATAACAAGATTGTTCTCGTTATATTCTTTTTTAAGAGTGTTTTTATTATCTCTAAATATAATTTTACAATTTTTTATTACTTTCTATCAATTCCTATGTTGTGATACAGCACGAGTAGCCTATCTGTCTATCATGAGCAGTAGCTTATAACACTTTCTAAGGTTTAATATTTACGTTATTTATAGCAATGCAGTGTTTGGCTAGTTATTTTAGTTGAGTTTGAGTTAGCTATAATTTTAAACGTTGCCGTTTGTACAACTGAACCAAGATCAATTATTTGAAATGTCATTATTGCACAATAATAATAATTGTGAATATTGAATTTCGTTGATAAAAATGCAAATCGTGACGTTAATGGCTGTTTACAGCGTTTTAATGAGTTTGTCATCTGTTTTTATACTATATTGGATCAACCGTATTTTTCATTACCCAACCCCCCCTTATTAACTCAGGTAATCGAGTATTTAAACAATAGTGTAAAGTATTGTAGCCTATGCTACTTAATTGTATTTTAACGAGTTTTATGTCAACAAAGCGTTATGTGCTAAGACAGCGGTGTAGCTGGACGTGTCTGTACCACGCGTTATCTTTATCTATCACAGCAGTTGAGCCATTCCGTCTTCCGTGCCCTCCCTCCTAGATCTCACGTCTAGCTAATGTTGAATAATAACTTCCTACACAAATTCTAAACTATCCTAAAATCCTATTTTAACTAATTTAATTCAATAATATGTTATTATAATTAATAGACTTTCTATCTGGTGACTTCGTAATATACTTTTGATTGTCATCACGTTGAACTCTGTTGCAATTAACTTTAGCCACCCCCCCCCCCCATTTGAAATTTTGCAACCCCCCCCCCCCAAGAATTTCAACGACGCAGTCTGCGTCACAGCCCCCCCTTGTGGGCACCCCTGCTAATGTATCAGATTAATATATAGGACTACTGGTACTAGGTGGCGTTCGCAGATGCATCCACAAAATTGAGCGGAGTCATCAAGGGTTCATATTATATGTTTTTGCCATAATGCAGTAAAAACAGTCATCATTGGTGCATGCGTTGCGGGTCTAAAGTAGCATTTTTACTCTTTAGGGAATAAAATTTGTTTTTAGCCTCTATGGAGGAAAACTCAGCTGTTGTCAACTTAGTTGTAAATTTCTATTGTAAAGGATTGAATACGTATCAAAATATGTAACGATTCGTGCTTCATAATCATTTTAACCTACAGTCTACAGTCTCTTCCCATAGCATTTTATCATTGCAGATACATTAATCCATTCCCACACTCAACACTGCCCACCTTTACTACTTCCTTCACCCTCCCCTACGTCGTGGAGCTGTTTCCCTCTCTTCCCATTGCATTTTAGGATTGCAGATACATTAATCTAACTGCTACAAACGGTTTCCAGTTTCCAAACTCCACACTGCTCACCTTACTACTTCCTTCACCTCTTCTTACGTCGCAGACCTGTTTCCCTCTCTTCCCATAGAATTTTAAAATTGTAGATACCAAGATATCTTAATCTAATCGTCATAAACAGTTCCCACAATCCGAAAAACTCGCCTTTACTGCTTCCTTCATCACTTCCTACGTCACGGACCTGTTTTCCTCCCTTCCCTTAGCATTATTGGAATGCAAATACCTTAATCTATTGGTCATAAACAGATCCCAAACTCCGGACAGCTCGCCTTGACTACTTCGTTCACCACTTCGTACATCGCGGACCTGTTTTCCTCTCGTCCCATAGCATTTTAGGATTGTAGATACCCTAATATAATAGTCATAAACAGTTTCCACACTCCGGACAGCTCGCCTTAACTATTTCCTTCACCACTTCCTACGTCGCGGACCTGTTTTCCTCCCTTCCCATAGCATTTTAGGATTGCAAATACCTTAATCTAATGGTCATAAACAGATCCCCTACCCCGAACAGCTCGCCTTTACTACTTCCTTCACCACTTCCTACGTCGCGGACCCGTTTTCCTCCCTTCCCGTAGAATTTTAGGAATGCAGATACCTTAATCTAATCGTCATAAAACGTTCCTACACTCCGGACAGCTGGCTTTGACTACTTCCTTCACCACTTCGTACATCGTGGACCTGTTTTCCTCCCGTCCCATAAAATTTTAGTAAATGTAGATACCTTAATCTAATAGTCATAAACAGTTTTCACACTCCGGACAGCTCGCCTTGACTATTTCCTTCACCACTTCCTACGTCGCGGACCTGTTTTCCTCCCTTCCCACAGCATTTTAGGATTGCAAATGCCTTAATCTAATGGTCATAAACAGATCCCATACCCCGAACAGCTCGCCTTTACTACTTCCTTCACCACTTCCTACGTCGCGGACCTGTTTCCTTCCCTTCCAATAGCATTTTAGGATTGCAGATACCTTAATCTAATTGTCATAAACAGTTCCCATACTCCGGAGAGCTCGCCTTGACTACTTCCTTCACCACTTCCTACGTCACGGACCCGTTTTCCTCCCTTCCCATAGAAATTTAGGAATGCAGATACCTAAATCTAATCGTCATAAACAGTTTCCACACTCCGGACAGCTCACCTTGACTACTTCCTTCACCACTTCCTACGTCGCGGACCCGTTTTCCTCCCTTCCCATAGAATTTTATTTTAGTAATTCAGATACCTTAATCTAATCGTCATTAATAGTTCCCACACTCCAGACAGCTCGCCTTGACTACTTCCTTCACCAATTCCTACGTCGCGGACCCGTTTTCCTCCCTTCCCATAGAATTTTAGGAATGCAGATACCTTAATCTAATCGTCATAAACAGTTCCCACACTCTGGACAGCTCGCCTTGACTACTTCTTCCATCAGCACCTCCCTTCCCATAGAATTTTAGGAATGCAGATACCTTAATCTAATCGTCATAAATAGTTTCCACACTCTAGACTGCTCACCTTTACTACTTCCTTCACCACTTCCTACGTCACGGACCTAAAGCTAGTGTCGTCATTTGATTAAATTTATGATCCATACCATCGTTTATGTTCTAATATCTGTGGAATAATGCTATCAGCTATTTATTTATCTACTGCATTCAAAAGTCAACAGCTGATCATATGGCTTTGTTTATGTGTCAAATACTGCTTCCATAAGGATTACATTGAAACTTTGAGACCCAGTGGGGCGGATTCCTGAGAGACTTTTTTAACGCCATATAGATGTTGGCACTCACCGATATGGTCTTTATCACCATACAAAATTTGAAAACGATTGATTCAGCCGTCTAGGAGGAGTTTGCGTATTACGAAATGCATAAAAGTCGACGTATAAGAGCTTCGCTCGCTCTGCTCAAAAAGCAAGGTGGGAACTCTGATCCCATGGATTCCCGCTCTATTACACCACTGCAAGGTTCCATAAGTATTACTGTAATTTAATTAGGCGTATAGTCTGTATGATCTTGAGCCAGACTGGCCGGACCATAAAGCATATCGCACACTAAAGCAAATACTAATATACTAATAAAGCACGCCTCGCAGCTGTGAAAAAATTCTGTTGGACTTCTTTACACTCCTTAAATAATTTAATGGGACTGTGCACACTATGGCGCGCCACGCCGCTGTCAGGCGCCGTGAAAATTTTCCGCCAGAGAAGTTTTGGGAGAAGTCGGAATGGAAATTTTCTGCTGGGTTCGCTGCGGCACGATGCAGCGCGCTATAGTGTGTGATGGTAAACAAACTATTTTGGGGGCAGAAATCTGGTTTCGAGTTTTCCGTGACCGTTCCGTTATCTTCGTTCTTTACAAACACAACCTCCTGGCTTTGTTAAGTTGTGGTATTCACACGTGCTTTTCTTCTCACAGTTGATTTTCGGTTAAGCATTTTTATTTTTATATCATTGTGAATAGCTTGTAAAACTATGTTATTTAACATCAATAGGCCTATCGTTTTCTTTAGAACTTTATTTATTTATCCTAATTTGTTGTTTAAATGTGCTGTTTAGCGAATTTCCCATATGGGGAATAAGCTATTACCGTAGTACTCATGGTAAGTTGGACCCAGGACCGATTTACTTTTTTGTTTTGAGGTCTCTAGACGCCAAAAACACCATCCGTTTGAATTCATATCCTTATATATAATACGTGAATGCGATTTCTACGAAACACTACTCCTCCGTTAATAATTGACGGATTTTTACAAACGATGTGTCAAAATTAAGTATTTTTTGTGTAGACTCCCCTTTCACCAATTCCTGTAATAAAAGTCCTCGGGCCTTGCCCCACAGGCCATCAAAATCCCAATGTATTTCTTACGACGAAAAGATTTTGTTTACTTAAACAGACGAATAATTTGTATTAATAGCAGCTGTTCATAGTAAACACATGATACACACAAGAACCTTAGATTTCAGAGTGAGTTCGTTTTTAGTTTCGATAACTAGAGTGGAGTGAGTGTCCGTTTTCAGAGTGAGTTTGTTTTCAGCTTCAATAACTAGAGTAGAGTGATAAAGTACGTTATCTTTGGGTTGACTCTTTTAAGTAATCGGACATTAAGACTTTTATTATTCGTTTTGAAACATTGCCTGTAATACTTTGCAATTGCTCGAATTCGAGCAACAGGTGCACAGTCTATTATATTATTAAAGTGATACAATCAAATTTTACGTAAATGGTTAAGGATATTTACCAAATAAAAATATAGGCATATGGCAGATCAAAATGAAGCTTAGAGTGTGTTGATTTGCCGAAAAGTATTGATATGGACGAATATCCTAAGGGCGCTGCCCCACAGGCTGATTTCCAAAGGGCTACACCTGGCATGCTTCCAAAGTTTAAATTATTTAATTTAATTTAGTTAATGAAACAGCTGGTCAGTACAATGAACTGATGTTTGTTTATTTGATTACTCAAAAAAGATGTTTGTGACACTTTATGTCGATTGAGGAGGGTTATGTTTGGTTTTAAAGAAAGGTTGTATACGTTTTGTAAAGTATTGGTCAAAGTTTCATTTTGTAATTTATATTACAAATTGCTTGACTAAAATTGAAGAATTATGGTAAAACATGTCATTCATGAGAGATAGAGATAGAGAGAGAGAGAGAGAGAGAGAGAGAGAGAGAGAGAGAGGGAGGGAGGGAGAGAGAGAGAGAGAGAGAGAGAGAGAGAGAGAGAGAGAGAGAGGGAGAGAGAGAGAGAGAGAGAAATTCTTTATTTACAACAAATTATTTTGCAGCATTACATGAATCAAATAAAAATATCACATGGGTCACAATGACCTGTGCGTGATAGAGTCCTTATTTGGCTGCTTAAAATCAAAATAAAAGTTCTCCACACTTCACATAATAAAAATAAAAAAATCGAACAATAACTTAGTAAAATAAGTATAACAATTAATTTACTATACAATTATAATTATAAAAAAACTGTGAAACCTAACAACCATATGCAAATGTAACTCAATAGTAGGGGAGCTCATTGCTTGCATTACATCCAATACACATTAACTTTTTTCCTTCGATTCCCAATTTTACTGAGGCGTGGATTCCATCAAGTAAGAGTGCTGTAGAAAGTAGGTACAATAGATATCCAGTTATCAGTTGGTTAAGTCTAAACGAGATATTCTGGGCTGATAAGCGACTCTGTATTGTCGAGGCCTATCTCCATTAGCCAATTAGCGATAACCCTCTTATATACACTCAGTGACACTCGCAGGTACCTAATTTCTGGAGGAATATTACGCAGCAAGCAAATAGCAATGTAAAAGGAATTTGTTAAATTGATTGATTTGAGAACTCTTGGGACCCGTAATCCTATCATCACTGAGTTTCTGGTATGATAATTATGAGCTACGGGCGATGCGATAAGGTCTAAATGAATGTATGAATAAGCTAATAAATCTTTAACATATAGCTGCCTTATTGATAAAAGCTGAGATTCTTTGAACAGATGATCAGTGTAGAATAACGTCTCGGTTATCTTAAAGCAGCTCTAATTATTGATTTTTGAGTTACAAACAAAGGTTCAATTACCGATGAATAAGCCCCTCCCCAAGCTATTAAACCATACTGCAGATGAGATTGAACATATGCGTAATAAATTCTTTTAATTTCTTCATGTCTTAAAATTTGACCCAATTGGTGAAAAACAAAAATCATTTTTCTAAGTTTTGTTTTTAAAAAATGTATATGACTTTCCCATTTCAATTTAGAATCCATTATAATGCCCAGGTATTTATACTGCGACACAGTCTCAATAATTTGGCAGTTGCAATCGCTGCCTGCGGTGGCACATGAGTGCAAGGCTAGTCTGAGTTCGGCGGGCGGCTCGCTAGCGGGACGAAGTGCGATAGGCAAACATTTTGTTTTACCAACATTCATTGTTAAAATGTTTTCTGAGAACCATCTTTTTAAAATTTGTAATTCTGATGATGCAGTATTAAAAACCTCTTCCCAAGTACGTGCCCTAAAGATTACCACTGTGTCATCTGCAAACAAGAATATTTTTCCAGAAATATCAATTTTATCTATGTTATTTAAGTAAATTAAAAATAGTAAAGGCCCCATAGTAGATCATCATGAAGCATCAATATGAAGCTATTGATGCTATTGCTACACTTAGGTATGTTGTCATATTCTTTTGGATCTATTAACATTAAGTAGGGGTTTGAAAGTAAGTAGGTTTACACTTTTAAATCAGTTTATATTTTCTAAACTAAATCATAGAGTTGCTGTATTTTAAAACACACATCAGCATCACTTTAATAGCTCTCTAAGTCACATTTTCTTCCCGTTGCAAAGCACGGGTATAGCAGCTTACTGGTCGACTCAATGCTAACTAAGACAATGGGAGATGTGATAACTATGACTTGTCTGTAGCCTTGATCTCTACATAAGTTACAAATTCCTTGGTTGTCTTAGGATCAAAGTAACATTCATACAAATAAGGCAAACGCTACAATTACCTTCTTCTCCAGCAAGTTAAGGTGTATTTAAAGCAGCAATACCTGAGTAGTCTCAGCTCAAGAGTGTGCAATTTGAATGCAATCCTTCTCACTTCCTCAACATACGCCTCCTCGTCATCGTGTGACGCGTTCATTCCTAGATTGTCGTACCACTGGTGTCTGGCTTGAAGTTCCTCTGACACCTACACATGATTAAATTGAGTTTAATCACCATACCATAAAAAGTTATAAAATAATTGTAATAGGATACTCACAATAACCAAAATGAGTTGGTAAAAAAAAAAATAAAGAGTTTATACAAATGGAAGCTTTATAGAACAATTAATGTTTTCTATAGTCTCTCTGACTTCAAAAATTTACAACCACGTGTAAAATGGGGGAATTATTTACTTAATAGATTAGTTACAAATATTTTACACTCTTTAATTTTGTATGTTTCATGTTTAAAAAAAGAGCTTAAAATACCCCCGCCGCAACATACCTGCAGACTAAGCGAATTTCAACTTGTCTGATTACATTTTTACTAAAAGATTTCCATAATTAAGACATATTTATTCCCTATTTAAATAACATTAGATTTGACGAGTGCTTAGGTTTGCTGCTACGGGGAGGTTAAAAAGTGTTTTTTGACCATACGTCAATAGTATAGGATGAAATAAATAAATTTGCTAAATTTGATCAATATCCATAAACAAGTAAACTACAACAATTTTCATTTTCTCCTTAAGAATAACATGGGAATTTTAAATTACACTATTTTTGAATTTTTTCCGTGACCGTTAGGCATACAACAGCGCTTCAATATACTAAATTATTTCTTTTTTTAAGCTCTACAAAACGGTTTAAAAAGAAGTTGCAAAATTGTTTGTTTTTAGGGTAAAAAATTAGAAAACCCCATTTTTACCCTATAAAACCCCGTTCCCATGGTCCAATTATGCTGGATCGCAAACTCGTTCGAATAAACGTAGGTTTACACGTTTGAACCAAATTTCATCAAAATCGGATCATTTTTGCTCGAGTTATCGCGCTAACGGACATACATATAATATATATATATATATATTTATTTAAATATATATATATATATGAATTTGAACGGATGGTGTTTTTGGCCTCTAGGGACCTCAAAATGAAAAATTAAATCGGTCCCGGGTCCAGGTCTTACCATGAGTACTACGGTAATAGTTTTTTCCCTATATGGGAAATTCGCTAAAACAAATAATTGAGTACCTTGATGTGTTTTTGTACAGTTATTGGACATGAAGAAAATTAAAACATAGGCTATTGTAAATTAAAAATTCCCATGATATTCTTATAGGGAAAACTAAACTGTTGTAGTTTGCTTGTTTATGGATGGATATATGCAGGGACGTATTTAAGTGTCTGCCGCCTCTAGACAACAAAGTGTGTTGCCCCCCCCCCCCCCCACCACACTTTTCAGCACACTCCCCGACCTCACTAATGTCACCCCAATGGCCAATACTTCGATGGCCAATACATGTCTTGTCACTTGATTTTGTAGAAAAATAATCGGCAATCCTGCATGCTGCATCAACAAATTAATAACTTTTTGAGCCCTTTTAGCGGAGGTTTTTTTGCGCCGTTTTTATGCAAAACGTGATTCTGACTTGGATACACGGAATGCAAAGTTTTTATCCAATCAGTAATTGTAATCACGTTTTGCAGAGTGAAACGGCACACAAAACCGTCTGTATACAAAGGCTCTTATAACGCTTTTCATTAACACTTTTAGTCAGATCCACTTGAGAGACATGCTATTGGCTTTGAAATTAAACAAATATGTTTACTTATAGAACTTTTTTATTAAAAAAAAAACCGCATGAATCAAAAAGAAAAAAGTACGTACTTTTACAATAAAGAATAATATACCATTTTAAATGAGTTAAGTTGGTTACAGTAGTATTTTGTTCACACTTTCATTCTTTCAACCTTTCAGCTAGCGCTGCCGCTGCGTAGTTGCTATGTACTAAGAAAAGAAAGTTGATTTATGTTTTAATACAAATTTTTATTCTGTAGCAAATTATTGTGAGTTAGCTTTTACAGTGAAACAAAACAAAAACAAATTAATGTAAACAAAGTCATATGATAAATAAAAGAAATTAGGAAACAGTTGGTTGAACACAGCACCTCTCCCCTAAGTTTCAGAATCACATATTCATTCTTGTAACCGGTTGTTTTTTCCTTGAGCTTCTTCTTAAGACAGGGTTTGAGGCTTCACCGTTTGGTAGAGGAGCTAGAGGTTGGTTAAAGCGAGCTTCATCTTCAGTATGGTTGTTGAACACATGATCATTTGCTCCCTGAAGTTCTTCATCTTGAATTGTAGACCCTAGAGGAAGTTTGATATTGATAAAGTAGTCACTGTCGTCCTTCTCACCGCTTAAATTTGAACCAACCGATCTTATTTGATCAATGTGTCTCCTGTAGGTGGAATTTCCAGATTCGATATTATAGTGGCACGTGCCTACAGCACTTTGCAACGGAATTGAAAGGATTGTCAAGATACTGCAACTTTGGCAACTTTCTCAACACAGCATTACGAAATCAGTTCATACAAGGATTGAGAAATGAAGCGATTCAAGCCAAATTGATCAGCGAATCGGTCTCAACTATGGACAAAGCACTGGAGCTGGCAACTACACTCGAGAAAGCCTACCAGGATGCAGCAACACTACACCGTGGTGATAACATATCAATTGGAGTTGACAAAGTAAGTAACAACATCCATCCTAATAAAGTTTGCTAAAGATGTGGAAAATCACATACAACACCTTGTCCACATATCAACACCTTTTGTAATTATTGCAAAAAAATTGGTCATATTGCTAAAGTCTGTTTGTCAAATCCAAATGCAGTGATAAAATTACCAACTAAAAAGTTTAGAACTATTTCTACAGCTAAAAATGTTAAAGCTTTACACAAAGAGTTAAATCTAACATCCGACACAGTATGTGTCCATGATCCCATCCTCGTCGCCATCTGCTATGTACTATGAAAAGAAAGTTGATTTATGTTTTAATACAAATTTTTATTCTATAGCAAATTATTGTGAGTTAGCTTTTACAGTGAAACAAAACAAAAACAAATTAATGTAAACAAAGTCATATGATAAATAAAAGAAATTAGGAAACAGTTGGTTGAACACAGCAGTAGTGGCGTATGATGGGTAGCCTAAACAGGAGGAAGTGTTTTCTTCGTTCGTCACAACCCACCACGCTACCGCGGAGCGCGTGTCTGCCAGACCAATTAATAGGGCAGCACGGAAAACTCAGCACAGCCGTGCAATAAACTATTGACTTTTGTTAATGCGTTCTGACAACGCATTAACATAAAATATAATTTTATACTTAGTTAAAATATTTCAAATGGCTGTTTTTCCGTTCCCAGAATTATTTGCTAAATGTTTTTTTGGTAGGATCTCCCTTTTTAATCCCCAAAATTTTGCCGCCCCTAAAATTTGGCACCAAGTCCGCCTATTTGGAAATATGTCCCTGGATATATGTTAATCAAATTTGGCAAATTTGTTTATTTCATCCTATACTATTAAAATTTGATAAAAAACCACGTTTAACCTTCCCCGTAGCAGCAAACCTAAGTACTCGTTATATCTAATGTTATGTAGACTGGGACGGGTGGCGTTGTCCTGTAATCCAGCTACTTAGGAGGTCACGAATTGTGGATATATATAGGCATGAACTGTGGATGCGATACTCCTTGGTGTGGATTAAAGTCCGCACGAGTAAGTACCACGACTATCCGCAGTACTATCCTGATAATTAGACCAATTCGTATATACCAAGACAAAAATGTAGTTCGGATTCCACTATAAACTGTAGGTCCCTTAGTTGCTATTAACTGTATGGGCTATTAATTAACCGCTGTGTCTAAGGAATATGTCGGCCTTAAGTCACTAACAAGACTACAAGATTGCGCCACTCATCCTACACTCATCTCCATTAATACTTGGCTTAACATACCTTCTTTGTATGGTCGCCATTTCATCGTAAAGTATTTAAGTAGAGAGTAAAAGTTTAATCAGACAGAAATTCACTTAGTCTGCAGGTTTGCTGTGGCGGGGGTATTTACTACCATCACTTCACTAGTAAATTACTGAAACATACAACCTTATAAATTTCATAATCAAACTTCATCAACTTATTGAACGAGACCCACATTACCTTATCAAATTTAAGTTGCATCTTGTTAGCCCTGTCAACCAGCAGCTGACGATAGTCATTGAGACAGTATTGCCGAACTTCTCGTAAGTGCTGTAAAGACAGAGGACTGTCCCCAAACTGCACTAGGTAGACAGCCAAGTAGTCTGTCTCTGCCTCCACCTCTCGTACTGTCTGCTCCTTTAGAAGCTGCTCCTGTCAAGACATACAGGTGATGTAAGCAATGATAGCTGTAGTGACACATCTCTACCAGCTGTTGTCACCAAACTGCACTAGGTAGACAGCCAAGTAGTCTGTCTCTGCCTCCACACCTCGTACTGTCTGCTCCTTATAAGCTGCTCCTGTCAAGACATACAGGTGATGTAAGCAAAGATAGCTGTAGTGACACATCTCTACCAGCTGTTGTCACCAAACTGCACTAGGTAGACAGCCAAGTAGTCTGTCTCTGCCTCCACCTCTCGTACTGTCTGCTCCTTTAGAAGCTGCTCCTGTCAAGACATACAGGTGATGTAAGCAATGATAGCTGTAGTGACACATCTCTACCAGCTGTTGTCACCAAACTGCACTAGGTACAGCCAAGTGATCTGTCTCTGCCTCCACCTCTCGTACTGTCTGCTCCTTTAGAAGCTGCTCCTGTCAAGACATACTGGTGATGTAAGCAAAGATAGCTGTAGTGACACATCTCTACCAGCTGTTGTCACCAAACTGCGCTAGGTAGACAGCCAAGTAGTCTGTCTCTGCCTCCACCTCTCGTACTGTCTGCTCCTGTCAAAACACACAGGTGATGTAAGCAATGATAGCTGTAGTGACACATCTCTACCAGCTGTTGTCACCAAACTGCACTAGGTAGACAGCCAAGTGGTCTGTCTCTGCCTCCACCTCTCGTACTGTCTGCTCCTTTAGAAGCTGCTCCTGTCAAGACATTCAGGTGATGTAAACAAATTTGTAATGCAATCATTGGCAAAAGAGCAATCAATATCTAACTACATTCTTAAAAATACATTTTTCAACTTGGATATAAGCTAGATACTTTACCCGTCTTTTCATCCCTTCTTTTGCTGCACTGTTCCTTTCTTCATCAAAAATAGATATTTTTAACTTTGGTTCCGTAGTTTCTGTTAGTATATTCCGTATTATAAGCAATATCTGAAAGAAATATAGTTTATTAAACTTATTTCAAACATTGGGGGTTTTATTTAATTGGTCCAAAAGGCAAGTCAGTATTAGAAAGTAAAGGGTTGGAAAAAGTGAACCATTAAAAAATGTATTATACACTATATAAGCCAGCCTTAATCCATTAGGAAAGGAATTAATGCGCTGCCTGCAGCACCCTCATTTGTCGTTAATTAATTTTACCGAATTTGTAGACTCTTACCCTAATTGTTATAGAAAGAAAACGTTAGGTAATAAATTAATAACTCTTTCGCCATTTTGTTCACAGTAAAATTGTCTAACAAAAAAATTGGTAATTGTATAATCTAAGTGTAAAATTTAAAAATAAAATTATAAAGATTATAAAAATAAAAATGTTAAAAACAAATTTTTAAATGTAAACTTGATTTACAAATTCCAAGATTAATCCAGACACCAAATGACACTACTATTATAAAGTTCAATTGATTCCCTACATAGAGAAATCACTACTTTTATAAGTAATAACATTTTAAAAAAATACCCCCGCCGCAGCAAACCTGCAGGCTAAGCAAGTTTCTCCATAAGAATAACATGTGAATTTTAAATTTACATTTTTTTGGAATTTTCTCCGTAACCACTAGGCACATAATAACGCTTCAATATACTAAATTATTTGTTTTTTTAAGCTCTACAAAATGGTTTGGAAAGAAATTGCTAAATTTTATGTTTTTTGGGTCAAAAATGGGAAAAACCTATTTTTACCTCATAAAACCCCCCGTAAACCCCCGTTCCCATAGTCCGATCATGCTGGTTCGCGAACTCGTTTGAATAAATGTAGGTTTACACTAAATTTCATCGAAATCGGATCATTTTTGCTCAAGTTATCGTGCTAACAGACACACACTCTCTCTCACACACACACACACACACACACACACACATATATATATATATATATATATATATACCTATACATATATATATATACCTATTAATAATTGGAAACATTATAACAACATTAAGTACCCTTTTAAATTCATTTTAATTAAGAAACTACATGTTTCGACACTTAGGTCATAGTCATGTTTTTTTACAAATACAATAACAGAATATAATGTTATAATGTTTCCAATTATTAGTGTAATAGTAGCCCTAATCACAACCATAATTATTATATATACCTATATATATAAATATACTAGTTGTTGTACCTGTGCTTTGCAACGGGAAGAGGACACAAAATAGAAACCTTTTCATCTTTACATCTGTTGCATATAATAGTTACACATCCGCCAACGCTTTTAGAAACAAAACTCAACTTTTATGGCCTTAATAGAAACGTTTAAGTTATGACTTTTAAATGTGGTAAGTAGTGGATACCAACATTTTGGTTTTGATTAATTTTAAATCTTGTTTAGGCTGATATGAGAAAAACTGACCAAATCTTCGAATAAAACTTTGACATACATGACCTTCATCTCCCTTAATGTATGCATACATACATATCTTTTAATTTATTATTGACATGTTAAATTTTAAATTTTAAAGCTGCAATAATACTGATTATTAAATTTAAATGAACATTTTTTTACTTTCTCCCCCTATACCATAGTATAGGCCTGTGGAGAAAGTATTGTTTTCATCAAAATTTCCGAGTTTGAGTTTTGAGTAGATATATTCGTTTTGGGTCCCCCTGGATCCAAAAAAGTGGTTTTCGAAGTGATATCTGTGTGTGCGTGCTTTCGTGCTGCATAAGCTGTGGGGACATGAGTGTGAATGTGACCAGACTGTGTGGACCTGGTTGCTTATGTGGACATCACACACGTACACACAATTTTCACAGGAAACACATTAACTGTGTGGACTTAGTGATGTCTGACTAGTGGCGCTCCTACAGACTTTTTGGTGAACAAGGAAAGCTGCTGGCGGCTACTAGCAATGGGACTTGAGTGTTTGGCTTCCCAATCTCCTGATATAGAATTTTTTTTTTTTTTAGGGTGAGGAGGGAAAATGCTTTTACGCACACAGGTAGCCAGCCTGTAGTGTGAGACTCCTGAGTTTATCACAGACTACTCACTAAAAAACCCCCTCTACTCTGTTGGACACAGACCTGGAATTGTTTGTCACATTACTTCAAGTCAGGCCAACATGTGACCTAAGCCCACAGGGCTCGCACCGTTTCTGGCATTATTTATTTTTTGACCTACACCGCATCCCGGTCGAGGTCAAGCTTCTTGGCGCGGAGAACACCCTGGATGTAAAGTGACACACAGGTACAATTGTCCTCACCTTCCATCATCATTGGTATGACCGTGTCCACCGACAGCACTCCTACGAACTGTTGAGCCTCTAGGCGGGGCCTTTCCCAATGCTGGCAGTGGAAGAAAGTGTGTTCCACGTCATCGGGAATGCCTGGGCAGTATATGCAATCGGGTGACACGGCTTTGCCCATCCTGAACAAGTACGACTGGAAAAAGCCGTGACCCGTCAGAAATTGGGTGAGGTAGAAGTTCACCTCTCCGCACCGCCGATTAACCCAAGGTTGGACCCGTTGTATCAGTCGCCTGGTCCAGAGCCCCCTTGTCTCCTGTTCCCAGCTCTCCTGCCACAGCTGGAAGGTCCGGGTGCGTTCCTCAATTCTTGCCTGGTCCTCCCCACGGCGCTGATAAATTGCCTTCCTCTCCGCCGCCAAAAGTTTGACGGGGATGACTCCAGCAACCACCAGGACGCGGGTTCGGACACTGTTCGATAGGCAGATGCTACCCTTAGTGCTGCCTGACGCTGCACTCAGGCGAGTCGCATCCTATATATCTCCTTATTGAGAGCGTCTGCCCAGACTTCCGCACCGTACAGGAGCCGTACGGACTGGACCGTAGACATCAACAGCCTTCTGCGGCTGGACCGCGGACCTTCGACATTGGCCATTAACCGACTAAGGGAAGAAACCATTTTAGCGGCCTTGTCCGCCTTACGGGTGATCTGGTCTCGCCAGCTGAGCTTGCTGTCCACCATGACCCCAAGGTACTTTGCGGCACGAGTGGTTTGGACTTCAACGTTCCCCACCATCAAAGGCACGATGGTGTCAATCCTCTTTTTAGTCAGAATCACAATCTCAGTCTTGCTCAGAGCGAGCGAGAGACCATGTTCTGCCATCCATGAGTTAATGGTTCGCATGACTCGATTTAGTTTCAGCTGGGCAAGCACTATGCTACGTGCAGCTATTAAAGCCGCAACGTCATCTGCATACCCAACTAGGACAGTTTCCTCAGGCATCTCGGATCTCAAGAGGCTGTCGTAGGCGACGTTCCAGAGGTCCGGGCCCAGTATGGATCCTTGAGCACAGGGCCGGTTTAACCCATACGCGAACTACGCGGCCGCATATGGCGCCACGAAAAAGTGGCGCCGTGGTGCCAACGGAACAATTTTTTTTACGTGAACAACGTAATTTTGTTTATTTTAGCTCAGAGTTCAAGTATACCACAATAAAGGCATTTATTCTGTTTGTACCAACAGCACTTGAAAAATGTGTATATTTGTACAGCACTACAACTCAAGGACTCAATGCCATTTGCAGTTTCGATTTGTAGTGAGCTGACGCTTACGGCGCGGCGCCTGTGGGTTTCATTTCACGATTCACTCATGCGCTCGAGAGTCGAGATAAGCAAGCGCGCAGCGCCACTTGTCACAACAAGAAACAAGAAACTTCCCCCTCCCATCCCTCCCTTCTGTCTCTTATCCTAGAGCAGAGCATTACTTTGTAAAGCACTCTTTACGTATACCGTATCGGTATCGTATTGGCGTTGTTTTGATGATTCATGATTGTTGATAAGTGAATGATTACGAGTGTTTTAAGTTTATAATAAGCACATTAAATAAGAAGAAACTGAATAAAATGAGTCAAACATCTTGCGAGCCGATACTAAGAAAACAATGGCAGAAAAAAGAAAACGTCACTTATTATAGAAAGTGTACGGCGAATTTGGAAGAGTAAGATAAAAACCAAGCCAAATCAATGAGTAAATTTTTGTTGAAATCATCTGGTGGCGAGTCCAGTCAGCCCAAAGAAGTCACGATAGAAGACGGCAATGACGTAGGTATTTATTGATTTATTTTCCAAGGAAAGATTCAAACAAGCAGCTGATCACAAACGGCAAACATTACGTCATTGCCGTCTTCTATCGTGACGTCATGCTTGACGAGCATTACGGCCTGTTTTTTTAGTGTTGCCTTGGTTTTGCTAAAGTTTATATGATGAGTAAAAGTGTAAAAATGTTAAATTTCTGCGAATAATAAACAGTTTTATTTTGCAAGTATTCTTCTATCCTAAACTTATAAAAAAGTTCTTCCCAAAATTATTGGGAAAAAATTCACAAATACGGTTAAGTTATGTTAATGATTTGGGGGGTGGGGGGGGTGGTGGGGGGAATCCTAAGTGGCGCTGATTCGGGTATTCGCTTAACTCTGAAAATTTCCTAGAACCGGCCCTGCTTGAGCAGCACCAGAAGTTACATCCATCATCCTGGAGCCTTCTGTAGTGTCGTAAATGATGAGGCGGTACCGGAGGTAGTCCTCTATCATGCGCATGAGGTATGCCGGGACGTGGAAAGTGTTCTCCAGTGCGTCCAGCATATCGCCCCACCTCGCGGAATTAAATGCGTTTCGCACATCAAGTGTTACAAGCAGCACAACCCGACGAGAATAGTTGTTAAACTCCTCAGCTCTCATTACGGCTCGCTTTACCTCCTCAATAGCGTCAACCGTTGACCGTCCCTTCCTGAAGCCGTACTGACGAGGGGATAGATTCCCTGCAGCAACCATGGCTGAATTCAGTCGGGAACGGATCAACTTTTCCAAGACTTTCCCATCAGTGTCCAACATACAGAGAGGTCTGTAAGAGGAGGGTAGGTCTGGGTTTCCTTTTCCCTTCCCCACGAGCACAAGCCTAGCTGTTTTCCAGCAGAAGGGAAACTTCCCCTCGGCCAGACAGGCATTGTACGTGCTCAAAAGGATTT